AAAAGTGAGACAAGACCTGTCATGTAAAGGTACAAGATCCCAGTAATGAATGTAACTGTACTGTCTACCTAGAATGTACCAATAAATTCAATTTTAAAAAAATACCACAGGTAGCAGAATTTGTTCAAGCATTTATAAAAAATATGGAAATACAGGACCAGGGATTTAGCTCAGTGGCTCCACCGCTGAGGACCCAAAAGCACAAGGACCCAAGTTCAATCCCTGGTACCCCCCAGAAAATATGGAAATGTTATTCTTCCCCTATTAATTTCTTCAAAAAAAGGACAATGCCCGATAATTCCAGCAGCTGGGGTTTATCTCTGGGGACATCGGACCTTAGCAATAACATAATCATCTCTTGAAAACCTTGTTCTGGGAAATCTTGGCACAGACATTCACCAAGTGACCCACTGAAGTTTGAAGAGGATGTTTATGCATTCCACCTGATACTGTCTCGTGGGGAGAGGACTTTTCCTGCTCAGACATGGCTATAAGCTCCTCCATCTCCACTAACACCTCTTCCTCTCTCCAGTGCAGAAGGAATCTAGTCAGATAAATAATAAACACCGGAAGCACCACTTACAATGTATGTGTGTCGGATTCACCACCTTCAAACACCTTAGCAACTGCATCTTCAAGCCACCGCACGGAGTTTGCATTTTATGATGAGTACGCTGAAGCCGGAGAGGTGAACTAATTCCATCCAGCCAAGGTCAGGAGGGGAATGAGCAGCAGACTCCCCTGTCTTAGCCTCCAGACCCTGAACTTTGATCACAGCCTTCAGCAACATCAGTGTTACCAGGGGAGGAAGAGCAAGACAAGGAGGTGAGGGAGTTGGAGGCAGCACTGACTGAATGCAGTCTTCTGGCTCTGCTATCCTGCATGGGGGGAGCTCTCAGCCTCTGTTCAGATAAAGAAGCCACTGCCAGACAGGCACAGCGGCCCCCCGCGTCTCGTAGTCAGGGCCTGGGAAAGCTGGAATTCCCACTTCAGCCAACAACGCACGCTTCCTCCCTCCAGTGTCCTTCCTCTGACGAATATTTACCATCCTTCTGCAGCAGCAAAAAGCCACAGAACAGCGCCTGCGTCTGTCCTCCCGTCCGGAGCGCACCCCAGTGTCTCTGTGACCCCCACCTGCGTCTCTGTCTTGTCTGCCCTCAGTCCTGCGGAACTATCCTGATAGGCCGGCTCTCTCGACCCTCCAGTCAGACCAGGGGACACACAGCAGACACCCCCCCCCCGCCCACGAATGTCATTGTTCCGGCCTCTGCCTGGGTCCCCCATAAACACTGCGCGTTAGTGGCTTGGTCCTTCGTTTGCTACTCGGTTGTTACCCAGCTCCTGGGAAGACAGATTGTTTACCCAGAGTTTTTATTTCCCCCAGGCTCTCACCTGTTAACGCGCAGGTCTGTCTGCACCCTCGATGTCACTGCTGCAGCTGTGCCCAAGGCCCCCACGCGCCGGGTTTGCAAACATAAAGCCTGACTTGGCCTCCAGAGAGTGCGTTTCTTCCTGAAGCCGATTCTGCCTTCCAGTCATTGTGCTGTCATCAGCGCAATAAAGAAGAGCAAAGTTCTTTTCAGAGGTCATTGTATTTCTCAGGCACCATAAGGAAGTAAGTACTTAGGTCCCGTCCCGCCCTGGAAGACGGTCTAAAATCATGAATCCAGCAAGCCCTTCCCAGCAGACACCCCCATCCGGGCCGCTTGTTCTGCAGCAATGTCCTGAGGATGGCATTATTCCTGCAATTTGACTCTGAAGTTAGGATTATACAGTAAGTGGCAGACAGGCATGGGGGAAACCAGCCCACATTCCAAGGCCGGCTGGCTGAGATTCAAATTCGGAACCTCCCAGGGCCTGTCTCCCCCTCTGATCTGGGAGGACTGAACCCTACCTGTCAGATCGAGTGTCGGCAGGGTGACACCCTCTGTCCTCAGAGAAAGAAAGTGCTGTCCTAGTGCTCAGATCACTTCCAGCCACCTGGGGCTGCAGTTTCCAGGGGAAACCCCACCTGCTGCGATGCCAGTCCGCCCCACAGGGTTTTCTGTGGAAAGAAAGAAGTCCATAATCCAGGGCTGGGTAAGATTTCTACATATTTTTTCAAGCGCCAGAACAAGTTGCTTTTTTCCATGGCATCTGAATCTTTGTGGGATTCACTCAAAGAAGAGCTGGACCAGGCTCGGCTGGAAAGAGCTCCCCAGGTCCGAAAGCAGCAGAGCAGGGCCTGCTGGGAGTGGCTTTGCTCCTGCCAGCAGGGAACACTGCAAACAGGACACAAAGTAGCAACCCTGGGGAGCCTCTGGAAGATCATCCAGAGTCTAGGAAAACTAGGATTCCATTGTTTTTGAGAGGTGGGGTACCAAGGATGGAACTCGGGTCTTTGCGCTCACAAGTCAGGCGGCAGAACCACTGAGCTAAATCCCCAGCCCTGCAATTCCGTTTTTGTTTTGAGTGTATCCTCCAGGAAGTGATCCTCAGCTGGAAGGTTCACTGCTCTTTGTCCGGAGACCGTACACAGGAATCAGGTCTCCCTAATCTTCCTGCTTCTTGATACTTTTCGAGATGTGTTGTACAGATTATTAGTAGATTTATAAGCTACCTAAGCGATAAACTAAAACTGAAATGCTGGTTGAAGGGTTATTGCCACATGGCTGGTCAGGGATTTTGAATTGTAGGAATTTAGTACTGAAAATTTCTTTCACTTCTGACGTACTTCCCTCTTTTGACTATGTGTAGTTAAATGTGTATGAGACTAGAATTTATAGCCCTTTTTTGTTTGTTTTATTCTGTTCTGTTTTTTTGTTTATGGTACTGGGGGTTCAACCCAAGGTCTTCGTACTGAGCTGCACCCCCAGCCTTTTTTATTTTTTATTTTGAGACAGGGTCTCGCTAAGTTTCCCAGGCGGGGCTTGAACACTCCAAAACAGGACTTCCCAGTGCTGCTTCAGAAAGCAACAAGAACGACAGAGTAAGTGTGTTCAGAGCGAGAGGTAGGATCGTGAGGGGGCTTAATGGCCGTGTCTTTTACTGTAATACATTTTTAATTAAGAAAACGATTTTTTTATCACATCTCATGCATGACACTCTAAACAGCGATTACCAACGGGTGATGGGGTAGCAGAGTTTTTCACCCGTGTGAGTACATTTATTTCTAAATAAACACTAAGAATAAACTACATATGTATGCTGTTTGGGGTTGGATGAAACAATAGGAAGGGTAAATGATGAAGCTCTGTATCTGGGGTCACTGGGAATTCAGGAGGGGGTGGGGAGCTTTCTGAATGCAGCATGTGCTGGGGCCCCGGACACAAGAGGCAGGGATCTCACAGGGTGGCTGGTGAGGGTGCCGGGGGTGAAGGGTGGGGGCTCAAACAAGGATGGTGAGGGAAGTAGGAAGAAATGGACACAGGTAAGAGAAGAAAGGACAGCTCCGTGTCCTTGGGCGGTTATTAGTTTCCCTGACCTGCCTCAGTTTCCTCAGCTGTGACATGGAGATAATTATGTTTAAAAATGGGCATTTATCGTTACCTTGTTCCTCTCCCTATATATGTGTTGATTGCATTGAGTCTTCATAGCAGCCCTGAGTTAGACACTGCTAACAATCACTCCAGTTTACAGATGAGGCACCTGAAGAACAGAGAGGTTAAGCAGCTTGGCCCAAGGTCGCACAGCTAGAAAGTGACCAGAGCAGGATTTGAACCCAGGCAATACGGCTCTGGAGCCTAAGTGCTAAAGCTCATAGAGCTGGGGCCTCAGCACTATGCCCGGCACGCAGAACAGATGTTAATGACGATGGTTATGTTAAGAGGCGAGGCGCCCTCCCTGAGTCCGGGCCCATTAGAGGATGTGCCATACCCTAGCCAGGCAGCATGGTGCCCTTCCGATCCTGTGCCAGCTTTGCTGTCCTCAGAAACTGCCCTGGGAACACCAAGGGCAGCACTCGCCCTACCAGGAAGCTGGCAGCTGGGCAGCCCCGGTAGAGACAGGGCAGGGAGGCGCCTTACTGACCCCCCAGGGTTTCCCCACATGGCTGCTGACCCAGGCGGGCGGTGGCAGGGGTGGCAAGTCAGGGCAGCACGGTCGCAGGCAGCGGGTGCTCCTCCGTGCCAGGCCCTGCTCGCCGAGTCCAGGTTTCTGCTCTGGCAGCCCGAGGAGGCCCTGTTTCCTTCCCACCCTCTGAGGCATGAGTGAGGGCCTTCAAGGCCACTGCCACAGGCCCTACGGGCTTGGAGGTGACATTTGGACACAGGCGGCTCCTGGAGAGTCTTGGTGACCTGGATAGGCAGTGGGATGCAAGGTTTGCCTGGGGGCGTCTCTTCCACTTTCAGGGGTGAACAGGAGCATCGTGGCTCAGAAGGCCCCCCCTTAATTTAGCCCCTACAAGAACCCCGATGGGGTAGATACCATTACCGTGTCCACTTTACAGATGAGGAAACGGAGGCCCAGGTAACCCTTGTCACCTTCCTCCTGCTAGGAGGGGACGGGACCAGCATTGTAAGCAAAAGACCACAGACTCTGTGGTGAACAGATCTGGGTTCGAATGCTGTCTTCTCTACTGACTGCCTGTGAGACCCGGGGCAGTTTGTCTGACCTCTTCTCCAGCAACCTGGCCAGTGGTCATTGCTGTGAGGGGCAGAAGTCAAGTGTGCGCCTTACTCGGTCCACAAGTTTTTACTTAGCATCTGGCCTGGCCGGGGATGCCTCTACCATAAAAGCAGAAAAGAATCCAGGCCTGGTAGAGGCACCCACGTGTGTTGATTGACTTCACGAATCCTCAAACAACCCCGTGGGCTAAGTACTATTATTGCATCTGTTTCACTGATAAGGAAACAGTCTTGAGAGCAGTGTAACTACAGTGCTCCTTCTAGGGTGCAGTGGGACTGGGACTGGACCATCTGTCTTTAGACTTTGGAGTCTGATTTCCTAGGTTCGAATCCTGCCATTCCCATTTCATTGCTGTGGGCCAATTACTTGAGGTGTCTGAGCTGCAGTCTCCTGACGGGTGAAATGGGACAGGAGGCCCCTAGGCAGGGCCTTATCCCATGGGAAATAGCACTTACCATTTAGGAAGCGCTGTCCATGTCCTGGGCACAGCGTGCTTGACCCTGCGCCCTGCAGGTGGTGCACTGTCTTCAAGCCCGTTCCTGCCTACCAGGGCCACAGGGCCACAGGCCAGAGCGCTGCCCCCCCAGAACCTTCACCAGCTGCACCAGAAGAGAAACGCAAAGCAGCCTATGATTACCACTACTCAGAGCCTCAAGAGTGCGAGATGTTGCTGGCCTGCAATCCCATCCCTTTCAGAGGCCGAGGCAGGAGGATTGCAAATTCCAGTCCAGCCTGGGCAATTTAGACTTACCAGACCCTGCCTCAAAACAGTGGATAGCAAAGGCTGAGAATGTAGCTCAGTGTGAAGGCTCTAGGTTCAATTCTCAGTGCAGGCACACACACACACAATTTGAAAGCGCCTCCTATTACCTGCCCACTATCAAAAGAGCAGAAAGTAAGGGGAAGTGGGGACACTGCACTGCTGTGGCGATGTAAAAGAGGGGCGACCGCTGTGGGAAACAGGGAGGTGCTTCAAAAAGTTAAACACAGAACCCCCATATGCCCGCTGTCCTGGGGTGAACCCCAAAATGCAAAGCAGAATCTGAAAATGATATCTGCACACTGGTGCTCTTTGTGACATTATCCACCGTGACCAAGAGTTGTAGGCACCCCAGATGCCCACCTGCAGACACACACAAGAACACGTGGCCTGTCCTTACAGCAGAACAGGGCACAGTCTTTAAAAGGCAGGAAATTCTTCAGTTGCTGGAACAGATGATCCTCAAGGATACCGTATGATGGAAATAACCCAGGCACAAAAGGGCAGATACGATATGACTCTACTCATACGAAGTACTAAAGCAGCCACACTTCACAGAAAGACACAAGATGGCGCACAAGTGTAATTCCACCTACTCAGGAGGCTGAGACAGGAGGATCACAAATTCAAGGCCAGGCTGGGCAACCTCGTGAGACCCTGTCTCAAGGTAAAAATAAAATCATGGAAAGAGAAAATGAAAAGATGACTGCTAGCTAGGCATGGTGGCTGGTGGCACACGCCTGTAATCCCAGCACTCGGGAGGCTGAGGCAGGAGGATTGCCTTGAGTTTGAGTCCAGCCTCTTCTATAGAGTGAGTTCAAGGCCAGCCTGAGTTATAGAGCTGGACCCTGTCTCAAAAACAAAGCCAAAGAAAAGACAGATGTCTGCCAAAAGCCTGGGGGAGGAAGGAGAGAGGCAAGTGTTTAATGGGTACAGAGTTCTAGACATCTGCTGCGTAACAGTGTCAATATACTTCCCATTGCTCACCTGTACCCTTAAAAATGATTAAGCAGGAAATGTAATGTTTTACAGCAATTTTAAAAGTGTGCAGTGACAGGGTTGAGATGTAGCTCAATGGCACAGCATGAGGCCCCAGTTCCCATCCCCAACATGAAAAAAAAAATAGTACAAGAATACAGATGTGATCGTGAGTTTGAAGCCAAGAAGGAACATGTGGTGCCATAGGAATTTATCATAGAGAGGATTTCCTGGGTTTCAGAAAAGTGTTCTCCAAGGCAGTGAGGCTTCAGCAAACATCCACAAAAGGGGAGTGGCCATGCAAAGGCCCTGGGGCAGCAGGTCACATGGCGAGTCTGAATTCACTTTTCTCCCTAGATGAACCTTCCTGCTTTGTGAACTGATAAAATGGTGACAATAGCAGTCACTATATACTGTGAAGTAATTCAAGCACTGAATTCATTAACACAGTAGTGAAGTATAGAGTCTGAAGTCAGACTACTCGGGTTCCTATTCCAGGGCTATGCCCTTTCTGGCGTCATAATCTTGCCCATTTCTTCATCTGAACAATGGAGACAACAACAGGCCCTCTCTCCTGGGTGTGGTGAGGCTCTCATGAGTAGCATACAGAATGCCTTGTGCACACAGCACCTACCACGCCGTTAGGGCTGTAAAAGCACTTGTTCAGTAAACCAGATTTAATCACAAACTAATAACTGGCAGATGTGTTGCAGAAAAGACCCCAACTTCCTCCCATCCCTGTAGGCAAGCGGACCCTTTCGCAGTGTGACCTTATCGTTGCAATCCTGAGGTGCAGGTGGCTCCCGAGGGTCCCTCTCTCCTCTCCTTCCCCCTTCGGGACGGGACAGCACCAATTCTCCCTGCAGCTCCCCCTCAGAGATTGTAGAGAAAACCTTGCTCTCGCTCTGTTTTTACTCCTCACTTTTGTTATAGGAAAAAAATCCCACTGCGATGGTGAGGCAACCCTGTACTTCCAACACCCTGGGAAGCTGAGGCAGGAGGATCAGAAGTTTGAGCCAGTCTGGAAGCAGGTAATTCGTGTTCATTAAAGCATTTTTTTGAGTGGCCCCTGGCTCGGCCCAAATTTCTTCGTGGAACCTGCTAGAGAAAGACTGGGAAGGGTATTAAAGGTGGCGACTCCATGTCGCGAAGGGGATTTGACTCAGCGCTTTGCGGGGGGGAAAAAGAGTAGAAGTGAAAAATCCATAGCAACCAGAGGGCGGGCTCTCTGGGGGCTGAGCAGAGCTGTGACCAGGCCCCAGAGCACCGATTATAACCGAGACACAGTTTATCCTGCCATCTCCCTGGAGGGCGCTGTGTAGGCACAGCAGGGACGTCTCTGGGAAAGCACCCGCCACGCCTGGCGGGCTGTAACCCACGCCGCTGCTCACTCACGCCCTCTGGTGGCCACCTCCGCGATCTCTCCAGAGGTAACGGAGACGGCCGCTACCTGGGCTAAGCCAGCGTGGAGGGAAAAGGGGCTCCCCTAGACTGAGGAGGAGCTGCAGCGCTTGGGATGCTGAGGCAGGACATTTTTATTTTTATCACTGTGACATTGGAAACAAACACAAGTTAGACAGTATACATTTCTGTAAAGTTTGAACAAGAATTATTATGGTCATAAATCCAAAGCGGCTTTAAAAGGCAATATCCCAGTAAAGACTGCAGGTGACTCCGAAGAACACCCCAGATTGAAGATGGAAAGACTATTATTACCTCAAAAGCCATGACGGCATCACACTATGAAACTCCAGTCCTGTGGCCCAATAGTAACAAAAGCTAACCTTGTAAGGCATTCGCTGTATACAGCGCACTGGTCTGGAATTCATTTGTTCCATACGTTCCTGTCCATATTTTGGCGGGGTGGTTCTGGGGAGTGAATCCAGCACGTTTATACTGAGCTGCACCCTCAGATCTTCATTTTTTAAAATTTTGAGACAGGGTCTTGCTAAGTTGCTCAAGCTGGACTTGAACTTACGATCCTCCCACCTCGGCCTCCCAGAGTGCTGAGACTACAGGCCTGCACCCCTGTGCCTGGCTCGTAGTAATACCTTTAATCCCTACAGCAGCCCTTTAAGCAAGGTGCTGGAGGCAGCCAGCCCTCAAAATAGCCCTTAAGGGTTCCGGCTCCCTGGTATTCGTGCTTCTGTGTATTTCTCTCCTCCCTGGAGAGGGTGGACCTGGGTAACTGATAGGATTGTGCAGAAATAATGGTACATACAGGGTTTCCCTCTTGGCTGAGGTTTCATTTACGCATGGTCAATTATGTTCCAAAAATATCAGAAGCAAACTGTTCTGAGTTAGCACAAGACAATCTCCTGCTACCCTGCTGTTTATGCTGAGGGTGTGAATCACCCCTCTGTTCCATGTCCATGCCTGCTGCTTCCCCGGGGGCACCCTGGCCCCCAGAGCTTGTGCCCAAGTAACCCTCCTTTTACCTAACAAGGCCCCAAGGCACAGCAGAGGCAACACTGCAGATTTCATTATAGATGAACCATGAGCTGTTGGTAATCTCTGATCGCACTTAATTTGTAAACTAGACTTTACCCCAGGCGTGAGTGTATCACACGGTCTTCTGTGTGGGACTCGGCACTAACCATGGCCTCAGGCATGTGCTGGGGGCTGCTAACGTGTCCCCGTGGATCCCTATCTACAGGATAAGGGGCTCTGGCTCCTGAGAGGCTCTGCCACTGTGTGTTTTTCTTCCTCCCTGTGCTTCTCACTTCAGAAGAAGCCAGGCTCTGTAATGTGAGGACAGCAGAACAGCAGCGTGACCAGGGAGCCAGAAGCAGATGGCCCAGCTACCCTGCAGGTGAATTCTCCTCCCACAGGAACTGGAAGAGATAACAACTTCGTATCTGTTATTTCTGGACGCTACATTTTGGGTATATGTAGCCCACACTGGCCTTGAACTCACGGCAGTCCTCCCGCCTCAGCCTCCTCAGTGCTGATAAGTGAGTGCCACCACACCTGGCCATTGTGGTATTTTCATGCCTGCCTGCAACATGTTTTGATCACAGCCATAAGTTGCAGCAGAGCAGAACAGCTCAGTGTCACAGCTGCGTGCCACTGCTCAGAGGCATGGCTAAGTGTTACAGCTCAGTGTGGCAGCTCCAGGTCACAGCTCTCATTCTTTGAAGACTCAAGAATTTGATGGTCAGTGGAGGAGGTGGAGAAAAACTTTTTATTACAACAGCAAGCCCCAGTGGGCTTAGAGGAGTCTGAGCTTCTACCAGAAGTGAGAGCCTCCTTATATAGGGATCTATAGGGCAGGCAAGCATGCTCACTGAAGCAGGGGGCGGAAACATTCTTGACGCAATACCTTGTGAGCATGCTCACTGAAGTGGGGAGGCGGAGTTACAGAACATTCCTGAGAGGGGGTGGAGCTTAACAGAATCTTCTTGTGAGGGGGCAGAGATTAGCGGAACGTTCCTGAAAAGTCACACAGTTCAGGCAGCTACAAACCATTTTGATACATTGGGCAGGAGCCCAGCAATACAAACTTAACACTTCCAAAACAAAACATTCTGTGGAAAAAAAAATGGAGTCAAGGCAAGGGCCTGGCTTATTGTATAGCTGTTCTCTGTCACATCCTCCGCTTGCCCTATTTTACACTTCCTCCCTTCCCTTAAGTCCCCTCCTCTTGTCTAATAGTCTCCTTTCCGCTTTTATTTTTTAGATTTTTACTTATTAGAGAAAATGTGATACTTGTCTGACTCACTTCAGTTAACACAATGATCTCCAGTTCCATCCATTTCTCCTGCAGGTGACATAGTTTTGTTCTTCTTTATGACTGAATACTACTCCATTGTGTATAGATCACATTATATAATATATTATTATATTCATCCCCTGATGGGCACCCAGGCGGTTCCATACCTTGGCCATGGTGAATCGTTAGATCCCCTTCTCCTAAAGTTTCTACCACCTTTCAGTAGCATCAAGAGGGAAACCAAACCTTCAACCCAAGAGCCAATGGGGAGCCATTCCAGATCCAATCACAGCAACAGGGAGACTGAGACACAGCTCGACCACTCTGGGAGCTGTGAATCGCCAGTCACAGCCTGAGTAGCCTGTCCAGAGGCGGTGCGGTGAGGCGCAGTGCCGACGACAGGGTGCCATAGGGCGCGGGGGCGACAGACCTTTCCTCCTGTCCCCTTCCATCTGTTCCTCCCATGGCCCCAAATGCCCCTTGGTGGACTTCTAGCTTTGTTGCTGCAGAGTGCTTATGGCCAGGATGTGTCCGTGTCATGTCCTAATTGGCTCTGAGTGCTGGAAGCAGGCTCAGTGTGAGGCTGCCAGGTATGGTCCTGGATGCTGTGGTCTGCAGGAGGGCCGCCATCTTGTTCTTCAGTGAGGAGCGGGGCCCTGCTCTTTGTGCAAGAAGGAAAATACATTTTAAGGTTACATTCTGTCCAACCCGTGAGGGATGCATTTAAATATTTAAATCCCACTTCTAGTCCTGTATGGTGGCACATGTCTGTAATCCCACGACTCTGGGAGGCTGAGGCGGGAGACTTACGAGTTGAGCCCAGTCGGGGCAGTTTAGCAGCTTAGTAGACTGTCTTGAAACAGTTACGTTTGATGAAAGCATTCAGTCCAGACACGTAGGCCGTGCAGAAGTATAGGTAGAGTGGATTGCAAAGTAGATGTAAAGTTATACCTCCAAGTACGCACAAGGAAGGCACCTGTACGGAGTGTGAGTTTGGAAACTTTCTTACACACCCAAGAGTCACTTCTAGAACTCAGGACTAGGATAATTATGATGCTTAGCAACATTTTACTTAGAAGTTACTTTGGAATTGGGCGGTGTCTTCCTGTCCTCCTCACCAAGGCAGGAGAGTCTTACAGAACGTTTCCCATTCCTGCCACGGCCGGGGATAGACGGCCAGATGTCTGTGACTGTGAGGTGTCCCTGTGCTCCGGGGGATGGCTTTGGGTCTGAGATTTAAGAAATGATTTGCAATGCATCATACATCGAAGTCTTCCTTTACTTAGCTGGCAACACACACCATTTTGGACACCCCCTTTGTCCCTCTGACCCGACCCGCTAATGTCTCATCACCTGTCTAACAGGAGTAGAGGTTGAAGTCGCCATTGCAGATGGCTAAGCCACCTGTTCAGTAAATTGATTAGCGGTTGTTTTTAAAAATTAACATTTAATGAAGCAGGAGCCCAGGGCTCTACAGCTTCCTGGTGTCTGCACAAAAGGCTGGGGGATTGATTTCCCATCCCTGTTGCAGAAAGGGCTGCTAGGCCTTTGTGTCCTGCCCGCTGGCTTCTGGGCTCGTACAGCCCCTGGGGGACTCCTGGTCTTTGTTAGGGCCAGCTCCTGGCAGGCAGGGAGCTAAGTGAGATCCTCCCAGAGCGGGGAGATGGGGAGGGAATGGAAGGTCTGCGCTCAGGAGCAGGGTGGAATGGTCCATGGCTGGTGTCGGTGTGGGGTCCAGGGGGTCCTGAGCCAGGGAGGAGATGTGTTTCAGGTGGGTCAGCGCTGTCGCTGTCTCCGAGGCCCCTGGGAGGGGACACACCCAAGTGCGGGAGTGGGACGGGGCCAGAATGTAGGGGAAACCAAAAGAAACAAAAGAAAAACCTGCCAACTTTATTTAACCCCAGGTTTACAGAACGCACAGGAGCATCTGGATGGAACAAAGGCCCACGGACCCAGGGTGAGTGCTCCATTTTTATGCTCAGATTCGGTGAAGACTGACCGCCATGGAGAAGTAAGATTGGACCAAGACCAGCTTGGGGTGAGAGCCCCAGGTCGGGGGGGGGGCTCCCCAGTGCTGAAAAGAGGCCGGTAGTAGTAGTGTTTCATAGGCAGAGGACAGGATTACATCCCTTCACGGTCAAGGCAGGGTTAACACCACTAAAAAAGGAGCTCCCGGTAAAGACACCCTGCTCTCCTTGGGCCTTTAGACAATGGCAAGAAACCAAACCTTTGGAGTCAGATACATTCAGTCCTCGCAGGGTCCTGACCCATTTTTCTCTCAAAGAGATGTATAGGCCTCTTTGTCATCTTCTTATGTAAAGATAAAAGCTTTCTGGGCTAGAGGAGCAGGACTTTGTGGAAACTGCAACTGCAAACATAATTGTAAACTCAGTACAGGAGCCCCTGGGAGATCTGCAGAGTGCTAAGTGATCCAGGAGAAGGACATCTTTAGATCATCACAAACCTCAGAAAAGCATCACAAAGCCTCATCAAAAGCCCCCGTCCCTCTTCCTGACCCTGCAGTTTCTCTCTTGGACACTGGCCAGCTGCCACCCTTGGCAGTGAACCCCATGTAAATAAACACTTGTCTTTTCTACACCCTTGTCTATCGGGAAAACCTACTGGCCCACTTGTATGTGCTGTAAAGAACTGTCTGACCTGATCTACGGGCACACAGGGCAGGTCAGAGAATCAGTCCTCAGCCAGCTCCTGAACAGAAAAGCAGGGCGAGAGGAGAGCGACATTTTCAGGCTTTATGTCTGGCTTCATGGAGATGAGTTCTTGTTCTTGTGATCCACACTCTACTTGCTGTGGCTGCTTGGGAGACCACGAAGGCAAGAGCCAGGAGGGCGGGAGAGGGGCAGAGAGAGCCTGCCCCTGAGGCCTTCGCTCTGGGTACTGTAAGGGCACTGCGAAACGAAGCTTTAAAGGTTGGATTGTTTTTCTCTTAGAGATAAGCGACCCCTCGAAACTTCCTCCTGCTGAGCGCATGAGAACCCCCTCCCAGCCCCAAAGAAGTGACAGAATGCCCAGATGCGAACGCCTGGCTGCCAGACGAGCTGAGGATGGCCGGAAGTAACACAGCAAGCCTGGAAATCTCACGTCTCTCTGTGCTCCACACCCTGCTTCCATGCTCTGAGAGGCCGTTGCCCACCGTACATGGTGAGTTGGTGAGATGGTGATGTGAGGCACGTGGGGCGCTCCATCTCGGAGCTAGCTCGGAATAGATCCTTTCTCCTTTTTTACCAAACCATGTGACCTCAGGCTAGCCAATGGCAAGGAAGTGAACTGGACTGCGTGAACCCGATTGGCTGCCAACAGAACCATTGCCTGCGCCCCAGCAACCCTCAGCAACTGAAACAGCAGCTCTGGGCAGACTGAGTTTGAGGACAGCCTTGGCTATATCAAAAGTTCCGGGTTGGCCTGGACTGCATAAGAGAAGAAACTTCGTGAGCTTTGTGAGTGACCTTTTGTTGGTGGCAGAGAGTGTCCCGAACTGGAACTGGGGTGGGCCTCCTCTGACCTCAGACGCATTTGCCTTTGTCTGACTTACCTTGAAATTTGCCTCCCTTTGCCCCAAATAAAGAAGTGTCATCTTTAAACACCACGAAGCAATCTAGATCCAAGAAAGGGCAATTTCCTCCGCCTTCCTCTGTTACTTTTCATACACCTAACACCTTCTCTCCACCATAAAATCTAGGCAGAGCTGGGCATGTTAACACACACCTGCAATCCCAGTAATCTTGAAGGCTAAGGCAAGAGGATCATAAGTTCAAGCCCAGCCTGGGCAATTTAGCAATTTAGTAAAACACTGTCTAAAAACCAATCATACATATATATATGGCTGGGGGGTGTAGCTCAGTGCAAAGGCCGTGGCTTCAGTCCTCAGTGCCGAAAAAATAAAATAGCTAGATGTGGTGGTATCACAGGCAGCTAAGTTAGACAGAAATTAATATACAATCAGAGAGGGACTGGGCTCTCAAGTAAGTCAGTGAAGAATAAAGACATCAGAACTGTGGCTGGAGGTGCATCTGAAGAAGGCCAGGCCTCTGAGTCTCCCTGAGGGATACACAGTAACTAGACATTATTCTGTAATTATTACCTGGCGCAGTAAAGTCCCCATAGCCCTCAGCCAGGTAGATACCAGCGCACCTGGACACATCCTTTCTCCAGTGTGTCTGTTTTTTTCCACGTAACCCTGCTGCACAGTTGGTTTCCCAGTTCGATCAATATTAGCTCAGTAGCTGTATTTGTAATCCTATAGGTTGGCTATAGTTTGATCCATGTTGTACCCATGTTGTGACTTTTTGTTTTGTTTTGATGAAAACTTTTTAAAAATTAATAAATTTTATTGGCACATTTAAAGTATAAAATGTAATGACATTCATCATTGGAAATTTGCACCTTTACACAATCCATCTTGGTTCTTATTTTTTCCTCATTCCCCTGTCTTCCCTTCAACCTTTCCACCCCTCCCTGTCTCCAAAGACTTTGTTTCCATTTTTTCTTTTTCTCATGTTAATTCCATCCCCATTTTTCTTTTCCCCTCCCCTTCCCATTTCCCCTTCCCCTTTGCCCCTTTTCTTCCTATTTCACATTATCTATTCTACCTTTTAGTCCTTATTTACTCACACTAGAGAAACTATTTGGTATTTACACATATGCGTCCTATTTATTTCACTTAAGAGTATCACCTCATTATGCATCCATTTAGCTATAAATACTTCACAGACTGTGAAAAAACAATCCAAAATTCATTTGGAACAACAAGAGACCTAGCAAGAGACCTCTTTATTGCCTAGCAAAAGCAGTGCTAGGCAATAAAGACAAGGTAGGAGATATCACAATCCCCAGCTTGAAACTATACTACAAAGCCACTGTGATAAAAACAGCATGGTACTGGCAAGGAACAGACCTGAGGACCAGTAGAACAGATTAGAAGATGCAGAAACAACTTCGGACACACTCAGCCACCTCATCTTCTACAAAGGAGCCAAATATCCTCCCTGGAGGAAAGATAGCTGCTTTAATAAATGGTGCTAGAAAAACTGGGTTTCAATTTGCCAAAGATTAAAGCTAGACCTATCTCTCTCACCATGCACTAAACTAAAATAAAAATAGATTAAAGATCTAAATATTAAAACAGAAACACTAAACCGGCTGGAAGAGAGGTTAGGTAGAACTCCTAAAGACATTGATGTAGGAAAAGATTTTAGGAACAGAACCTCAGTTGCCCATGAACTAGCGCAAACAACCAACAAGTGGGATCTCTTCTTATTAAAAATCTTCTGCCCAGCAAGAGAAACAATCAATAGTGTGAAGAGACAACCCACAATGTGGGAAAATTTTTTCACCAGCTCTTCCTCAGACAAAGATCTACTACCCACTTTGTGACTTTGCTGTATAGATTACCTCTGACAAAAGGCCTCAGCAACCCATTCAGGGCCCCTCTTATCTCTCAGGAGCTAAATCTTTCCTATGCTTAAACTCACTCCAATGTCCCTTGGAATTTATTTTTTTATTTTAATTTATAGATGAACTCAGCACATCTGACATTTAACAGGTTGGGAGTTGTATTTCTCCTGTATTGGTGGCACATACCTGTAATCTCAGCATTCAGGAGGCTGAGGCAGGAGAATCACCATGAGTTCAATGGTAGCCTGGGCTACATAGTGAGTTTAAGCTCAATTTGAGCTATATGATGCATATTGAACCATCCTTGCATCCTGGGATGATAATTGGTCATCTTTTTGATGACTTGTTGCATTCTGTTTGCCAGTATCTGGTTGAGGATTTGGGCATCTGTATTTATTAGAAATATTCTCTACAGCTCTCGTTTTTGGTCCCTTAGGCTTTGAAATTAGGGTAATAGTAGCTTCCAGGAATGTCTTTGGGAGTACTCCTTCCCCTTCAGTTTCATTAAGAGCTTGAGGTATATTGGTATTAGAGCTTCCCTGATGGATTTGTTTGTTTGTTTGTTTAAGAATTCAGCAGTGAATCCATCTGGACCTGGGTTTTTCTTAGGTTTTTCTGTTTTACTGCTTAGATTTCATTGCCTGTTATTGGGTTATTTTAGGTTTTAAAATCTTGATTCAGTTTTGGCACTTCATATGTGTCTAGGAATCTCTTCATTCCTTCTGAATTCTCCAGTTTATTGGGATACAAGTTTGCAAAGTAGTTGTTAATAATCTTTTTTGCTGTTGCTGTTTTTGTTGTTTTTGAGACAGGGTTTCCCTGTGTAGCTCAGGCTGGCCTTAAACTCACTATGTAGCCCATGTTATCCTAGAACTCACAGCAATCCTCCTGCCTCAGCCTTCCAAGTGCTGAGATTACAAGTGTGTACCACCGTGCCTGGCAATCATCTTTCTGATTTTGGCAGTGCCCATTGGGATATCACCTTTTTCCTTTCTAATTGCATTTCTTTTCTCCCATTTTTTTTTTTTGTAAGATTGGCTAAGGGTTGTTCTATTTTGTTTATTCTTTTGAAGAACTCTTTGATCCATTAATTCTTTGTAAATTTTTTTTGTTTCAATTTCATTGATTTCTGCTCTGATCTTTATAATTGCTTTGCTTGTACCAGCTTTGGGTTTCATCTTGTTTTTCTAGGACCTTGAAGCCCATTGTTGGGTTATGTATGTGGGCTTTCTCTGTTCTTGTGATGTGAGCATTCGGCTATAAACATCCCCTCCAGTGTGGAATGTGTTCTGGCTGACCTCCCTGGGGAAATCTACCACAGCCCTGAGGGCCGAGGCTGCAGTTGGTTAACTGGCAATGCCTTCAGAAAGGAAAAAATATACGTATTCAAAGGCCGTGGGGAGGATGGCACAGACATCTGCCCCGCTGTCATCAACAGTGCCCAGCTGAACACAGGGATGGAATTGTGGGGACTGTGGTGATGATGAGGATAATAGTGGCATCCCAGACCTGGTGCCCCCTGAACCAGACAACTGCCTGCTGGTCCCCAGCCCAGCCCAGGGAGATAGTAACAGAGATGGGTGGGAGACATCTGTGAGACTGACTTTGACCAGGGATCATTGACCGGACTGGCGTCTGCCTGGAGAATGCGGAGATCACCATGACTGACTTCAGGGCCTACCAGACAGTGGTCCTGGATCCGGAGTGATACCCTAATCGACCCCGGCTGGGTGGGCCTGAAAGTAGGGCATGGAGACTGTACAGACTGTGCACAGCAATCCTGGCCTGGCTGTGGGGTACACGGCTTTAAATGGAGTCGAAGGGGCCTTCTGTGTAAACACCCAGACGATGACTATGCAGGCTTTATCTTTGGTTGCCAAGATGGCTCCAGTTCCTACGTGCTCATGTGGAAGCAGACAGAGCAGACTTATTGGCAAGCCACACCTTTCAGAGCTGTGGCAGAGCCTGGCATTCAGCTCAAGGCTGTGAAGTCCAAGACGGGTCCCGGGGAACAACTCCGGAACTCTGTGGCACACAGGGGATACTAGTGACCAGGTCAGACTCCTGTGAAAGGACAAGGTGTCCTACCACCAGTTCCTGCAGCACAGGCCCCAGGTGGGCTATTTCAGGGTAGGATTTTCGGAAGGCTCTGAGTTGGTGGCTGACTCAGGAGTCACCATAGACACCACCATGCGGGGAGGCTGACTTGGCGTGTTCTGCTTCTCTCAAGAAAATATCATTTGGTCCAACCTCAAGTATCGCTGTGAGGACACCATTCCTGAGGACTTCCAAGTGTTTCCAACCCAGCGTTTTGATCACTTGGATAATTAAATGGAGGAAGCAATCTGTGTACTGCTTTTTCAAACACAAAAACAATGTATTTTTAAACTTCCTACAATTTCCTTATATACAGTGTGGCTTTCTTTTACCAGCCCAAACATATTAGAACCTTTGGTATGAATGTGGAAATGAGGAATCATTTCTAATAATAAAAAAAAGGCAATGGGGGACAGTTGCAAACATCAAAGAGTACCTGTGAATCAAACCTACCAGAATAAGCAGAGCCTTAGACATTATGAAAGAAGGTTCTTCTGCACCACCACCTAAAAGCAAAAGCCTCTTCCACCAGGTGAAATGATTGGACTTCGTCTGACCTTAGCATCCCAAATTCACGGTCGTTATTTGAACGGCCCCTCCGAATTCCCTGAGTACCCCTGGGGAGTGTATCACCCCAGGTCCAGAATCACTGCTATCAGTTATTTTGCAGATGTCAAAACTGTGAACTTGGTGGATGGAATGGTTTGTTTGTGCCCGTACAGCCAGTTCCTAGTGGGGTAAAGTTATTATTACTGCTTGTAACTGACAAAGCTTAATAATTCAGCGTCTTTGTGTTTACCTACTAAGAGTTTGATGCAGCGGCAGAGTACAGGTATCCTATAATATGTTTCAAATTAATAAATTCCAATTCTCAGTTATGAACATAGCTTTCTAGAAAAGTTGAAAAATGCAGAAAAGTGATAAGAAAAAGGGCTACTGTTATAATCTAGAAGTAACTGCTCGTGCCTGGGTGGTGGTGATCTCATTTACATACAGACGTGCACAGGCGTGTGCACATGTTTTTACTAAAGTTGGATTGTATACTTTCTATCTCTCAGATTTCTTTTTTGTTAATCCCATTGTGAGCAGTTTTTCATGTCATTATGTGAATCCTTGGATAATATTAAGAGTTGCCTGGTATGCTATGAAATGGATGCTGCATAATTTATCCAACTGACTTTTTGTAGTGGGACAGTCTTCTTTTGTTTGTTTAAGGTTTTAGAGCTTGAACAGTGCGGAGAAGA